CTGTCCTGTTGGCTTTCACTAGTGCTTGCACTAGTGCTAATATTGTTGGTCATTCAGATCTTGATCTTGACGGCGCATCTTGCTACGGATATTTCTTTCTCATGGCACTCCACAACTCTTCCTTGGGACAACTCAGGTCTTTGACACTTGTCCCGCACTAGTCCTTGACACTTGTCCCGTCGGTGGTCCCATCGGTACTTGTCTTGCCGGCGTTCCCGTCAGCATTTGTCCTAAAATGTCATTATTTCTATTTATTCCCATACGGTTCCCGACACCTTTCCCCATGGTGTCCCGATTTTTCTTGGCATTTCCCATTCCTCGACAGCCTATTTCTCGCCTCCTCTTGTGTCCCAAGTGTGCTAGCCTTCTTGCCCGCGAAATCTATAATCTCGTGGTCACCTTTCGTTGCCGCACATGACCCCCACACTTGGGGCGTTCATCTCTAGTGTCTTGTGTCCGTCAAGGCTCTTTTTCTCATGACCTTGACACTTCCGTGTGGTTCGCTGCATCCCCTTTGGATCTCTTCCTAGTTTTCAAGGCTTGGGGCCTCGAAATTGAGGCTCTTCCTCTTTTTCTTGCCCTCTTTCCCCCTGACCCTCGAGACCACTCATTTTTCAGGTAGCCCGTGGCCCGACACTTGCTCGGGTGGCACCCGCTAGTCCTTTCCTTTGCGGCCCCTTGCTAGGTCCACGATCCTTAGGCTTCTCTCATGCCGAATTCAGATGGCCTCTACGACCGCATGCTACATTCTCGTGTGTCGGCGTTACGACAATATTTTCCTTGGCGTCGTGGACCCTTTTCTACCTGCAGCCTTAGGCCTAGAGTATTACTTTCCCGGCGGTCCTCGTTCGAGAAGGAGGGCCGCCTTTACTAATTTCTTGCAGCCCCTCGCCGCTCGTCACTTTGTTAATCTATTCCTGGCCCATTGGTTCCGGCGGCCCAGGGCATCCTCCAGGGCCCTAGGCGTTGACACTCTTGCCTTATTCATACATCCTTTCTATCTCTCTTGCCTCTTGATTTCTTTGTTGTGCACACTTTAGCCATATGTTGCGTCTCGAGTGTTGGGACTTGCTTCGGGACCCACAAGTCCCGACACCGTGAAGACATGATTCCTCGTGCAATCGATGGCGGTCATGAGATCGATATAATCAAACACCACGTAGGAAAGGGACGCAACAGATAGTACCAGGTTCACTTTATGTATCACCCATTGAACGATTTCTACTGGACTCCAAGAAGGAACTGCTGCGCAGCGCACCTCTTGTTGTTAAAGGCTTAAAGCCTACGAACGACAAATCACCTCTAATGCTGTTCCCAAAATCTTTGCAAAGCTCACTGCGACAAAAGACTCTTGAAATCTCTTTGCTTTGTTTGCTTACGATGCGTTTGTCGGGGACTCAGACTGAGTTACTCGCTTGAAGGGACCTCACTCTCAAGGGCCGGGTAGTGTGATGACCCGACCAAACACGGATTGAGACACACAACTGATTTCTGAGTCTTGCTCATGGACTGAATGCCTTACTGAGTTTCCCGCTTGCTACTAAGTTTGTGTGTGTGTGCACGCTTGCTGGTCTGCATGTCTGTGTGTGTGCACGCGTGCTGGTCTGCATGTCTGTCTGAGTGCTTGTTGGCTTGAGTGTGTGTGTGTGACCCGCAAGGGCACTTGTTCGTTCGTTGGGCCCTCAGGGAAAACACTCAAGTGGCGGGGGAAGAGGCCCGCAACACTTGAAGCAGCGGGGAAACACTCAAATAGCAGGTAGACCGGTACCACACCCTGAAGAGATAGATGTGCCGGATACTCGAGGCTGAGCAGAAGAAAACAATAGTTGGCATTTTTAGAGGCCCAGTAGTTGTAGGCTAGGTCTAGGCAGGTACCAGTCCAACCAGTCTGAGTCTAGGGCCTGTACGGGCAAGAGTCTGCAATGATGTTTCCCTCTGAAAGGGAGGAGGTACTGGTTGCTTGGAAGGCCAAGCAGCCTGGAAGTCACCACCCAAGAGGCAAGCAGGATGCTATATCTCTGGTAAGGCGAAGATCCCAGCCTCATTGTCGGTGTGCAAGTTTGGTGACACTGGTTGGAGCTTTGGCTGGAGCAGCGCTGCTGGGGAAGGAGCAAGGACACGGAGGAGGAAGAAGACCAGCGGGAAGGGGGAGCACCAGAGGTACTTACCTGGCTATGGTGACAGCCATCTTCATCACCTTGGTGGACGCTGCAGCAGGAAAGTGCCCGTTGGGGGAGAGCTACACCAAGACGCTTCGAGGCAGAGTCAGGCATGGCGGCCTGAGCTAGAGCAGCCATAGCTGCTTTGGGATGTCCTTTGTGCATCAGGGCAACACCTAGTACTCCGCCTTAGCCTCATCCTATGAGAGTGAAGAGTGAGGGAGGTAAGTGATACCTGCAGTAGAAGAGGGATTCGGACATTGATTCTGGTTCAGCCATTCAACATTGTATTATTACCTCTTGTGTGAATAAGAGAGGAGGAGATAAGGAGGAGGAGAGTGTTTGGCGAAGAAGAAGGGCATTATCATTTGTTTATGCTGGTGTACATCATCATCTTCTTCTTCTTCTTCTTCTTACCCTCTCTGTCCTCTCAAGTTCATTCATTTCTTTCTGCAATTGGACGGCATTGTACTATCTGATGAATGTGTACTTCAAAATTGGCCAGGATCATAACACATAGGCTGCCGCACAACCTACCACTTACATCAACACACACCACCTCCACAACCCGCTCTCCCATACTCACCCACTAACCCAAACACGATGCCTCCCGCCGCCTCCTTGTATAGTCCCCCACTCGGACGTCCCACACCTCCTCACCTATCTCCACCCTTACCCCATATGCATGAAAGGATGATGTCTCCGTGCAAAAGAGCGAGCATGAATGAGAATGGGACCAGGTAAGGATTCCCGTGTTCTGGGTTGCTATGGTAGCATTATACTTGCACACACACACACACACACACACACACACACACACACATGTTATGAGCATGATTGTCCGTTGAAATTTTATCAACGCTCGCTCACAGGAACTCCCGTACACGCCCATACATGCACAGAAGGAAGGGGAGAGGTAGTGGAGTGTCACACCGCCCAACAGAAAGAACGCAGCAGAAGACTCAGAGGAGCGAAGTGACAGAACACACGGAACTGTGGATTCTCTCCACACAAGTCCCAACAATCATTCATAGAAGACAACCGAGTGATCACAGCCAGAAATCAATGAAGAGATGACAACTCAAACACAGTATTACAACTGTTTATTCAACTCAGAGCATCGTTTTCCCTGAATAACCTCAGATCCCTGTTGCGCTACCCTCAGAGGGGTAGCACCTCAACCCCCCACACACCGAGCAGCTAAAAATAGCACCAGCACCCCAGGTAACACCCAGCGCCAACCTGACATCCAACTCAGTGGCCTGCGCCAAGATGAAACAGGCTCCCAGAGCCAATCGCCACCCAGATGATGAAGAAGAAGCTCAGCGCCAACAGTCCCTGATGAAGACGAAGTCCAGATGATGATATCCTCTGAGAAGATGCAGCTATGGCTGCATCGCCACTGGGACCCCACTCCTGAGGAAGGTCAGCAGTGCACCACGTGCTCCAACGCATCAGACCTGTTGTAGCCCAGACCGCCTTGACTCCCAGAGAGTCAGAGCGGACAGCGTTGACCCCAGTCCGGTCAGCGCTCCGAAGGTCTGGCTATGTCCGCCGTCTCCCACACCGGAATCAGCAACCACGACCTGATACCGTGGGCGCAGCAACTTCCACCATGAAGTGTCAACTGCCAAAAGCCCAGGACCGATGTCCCCATCCTATCTATACCCTAGACTAGCCTAGACACGACCTGGACCGGACTGACTGACCGACCGGTACCGTTTCTGTTTCGGCCTCTAGGGCCTTTCCCTACCCGGCTATAGGCTATAGGACCGTCTATCAGCGTAGGCCCATTGGGCCTGTCTGTCCTAGGGGTAGCCCAGGTCTGCTATTCGCAGTTAGGGTAACTGCAGGAAATTCGAGTTAGTACTGGGCCCATATCTCCTATATTTACAAATATGTCCCTCACGAATTTTCCTTACAGGTAGGTCTCTCGGTTAGCCCTCAGCCAAACAAAATTACGAATCTGTCCGTACCTATGGTACAGCCTCGTCTGAGAGAGGCTACAGGCAACCTGGAGCCAGCAAGTCATTGCACACACACACTCACACGCACATGCACACG